AAAAGACATAAAATCATTCTAATAAAGATTTTCCTATCATAGAAATTTCGTCAATAATAATATATTCTATATTTTTTCAAAATTCCTGTAATTTTCGTAAAGTGTCTCTATTTGCAATATTATCATTTTTACAATAATCTTCAAATCCAAAACCACAGGCAAAATGAATAGTGTAACCTGATACAACAGAAGTAGCAATTCTTGTAGGTGCAAGAACGATAATAGTGTGGCGCTGATCTGTGTAATCAAAATAAAAAATAATTGATTGGATAACTTTGGTTTTTCCTGTACCTCCTGCACCTGAAAGGAAGAGAAGTAATTGAGATGGTTTAGTAATAGCATTTGGTTGATTTCTTTGTGATGATTACATACAAGAAAGTATGCTTTCTTTTGTTCTTTATTTAATTCTATTGCAAAATTATTCAAATAGTCTATATTTTTAGTTTGTATAAAAAATGTTATTATTTATAGGTGTGTTATTGTTGATAGGTATTGTATCTGTTTTTAATAAATTATCTTTAATATCATTTGTATTATCACCTTGAAAAATATTTTTTCTAGATGAAATAGTTATTTGCCACATTTTAAGAAGTTTATCATCATAATTATTGCTTATTCAAATTTTAGATTCAGTGTTTATAAAAGTTGTAGTTTGAAATTTATGAATGTTAAATTTACCTCGAATATGCAAATATCTTAAAGTTATATTTACTGCATTGATGTCCTTTAAACCTGATTTAATAATTGATATAGGGTCAAATTTGATTTCATTATTATTTATATCAAAATTAAGTTTGTGGTCAGTTTCATTATTAAATAAGATAAATTTATCATCTGAATCAAAAGTTTTTACAGGTCTATTAATATTTTGAATTTTTGTAGATATAGAGCTATTTTGTCTTAGTTCACGATCTAAAGTTGATTCTTCTGAACAACGATGCAATAATTCTATATTATTAATAATAGATTTTAATCATGGTGATAATGTAGGGTCATTAAGATTCTTGGCATGCTTCAGTCCATAAATTATAATCTTTTCTAAGATCATGAACAGTTTCCTAGGGTTTAAAGAGCATAAGAATACATAGGCCATATCTTTTTTTGGTATTCCTTTACCATTTAAGATGACTATTCTTTCTGATTCACATGTTTTTTAGACTTGAATATGGCTTTCAAACTGAGGATGTGAGTTGTTATATAAATTAGTTTGAAATTGTAATTTTTAATACCACAAAAAGAAATCTATCAACATGTCTATTTCCTTCTCATGAAGATTGACTGTTTAATATTGCAATTTTATATGGAGTTATTGGAATTTTTTGAATAGTTGCAGCATAATCATAAAGACAAATATTTCTTAATGAGTATTTTGAAACTGATAATAATACAAAGGTTTGCTGCAGTTAGTTTATTATTAGATGATGATATTAATAAAGATTTATCTAATGAATCTTGGTTACTATCATCATCATTATTTATATTTAATTGATCTGTTAAAGGTTTTTTTGAATATATATTTGATCTGTGTTGATATTCTGACCATTTTTTTGTAAAATAATGTTCAAAAGTTTGTAAATGAATGCTAGTAAATTTATTTGGTGTGTAATGATCATTAATTCCTAATAAATATGCTGCTACTTGTGGACTAGTAAATTTAGTTTGGCCAGCCATTTTATTAAGATATTTTACAACAAGTTTGCGTGATTGTTCTACAATGTTAATAGAAAAATCATTGAAAGCTTTTTTTAGAAAATTTTCTAATGTAGCAGCACACATTAAAAATGAGCTATGTGTATTTACATCTGATTTAGTAATATAATCTGTTATATAATATATGTATCTAAGGCAAATTTTTTTGCAGAAATGAATTTTATGTTATTATTTTCTTGACATGCAAATGTAATATAGGGATTGTAATTATTGATGAATGCATTAGTACATTGAACAGTAATTATTTCATATTTAGAATCAATAGAACCAGAAGGATTTATTAGCTTTCTAGGAAAATCAAATCTACATTGATAGGTAGAACTATGATTATACTTTTTACAAGTTTGAGTACATCGGTGAAACAATAACAATAGAAATTAAATCTTTGCGAAAATTTTCTGCAAAATTGGGTAATTTAGGATCAGGTATAGGAAAAAAAGATGGGTGCATTCGTTTTTCTTGTAATGTTTTTGAAGTTTTGTATTTTTTTTCAAGCATTTGATCAGTTAAAGTTTTATTTGTATTAAGGAGATAACTTATATCTTCTTTAACTATATTACTAACATATAATAATAAGCGTTGACAAAAAACTTTATTAGTTTTGAGTTTTTGTCATAATTCAATTGGATCAAGTGATCCATAAAGTTATATAAGTAAATGGCAATGGGGTGTACCATGATTTTGATATTCTATTACATCATAATAATTTTTTACTGGTCCAAATATACCAGATTTTTTATTATAACCAACTATATTGTTTAGTATAGATTTAATTATAATATCAAAGTATTTTGCAACAGCTGAAGAGTCAAAATGTGCTAAACAAGCATGTTCTGTTACTGTTGAAAAGTTTTCAGATAATAAATTATCTAAATTAATATCTGCACCTGCATACATCATAACTATGGGACTGTGCAAATCAGCAGGATTATTAGTTATAAACAAAGAAGGTGCACATCTTTTATTGTAGTTGCAAATATTTTATTTTGCATACGGGAACGTGATTGATGAAATTCTATTAATTTTGAACCAGAGAGTTAATATTCTTTAATAATTCAAGAATATTTGAATTAGTTATAGAGTTTTTATTACGTATTTGTTCAACTGCTATACATATTTCTTCAGGTTTAATTAATGAAATTAATCTAGCAGATTGATTAAAATTTTTACATTTTGTTAAATTATATGATACTTTTCGTCTTTGCAAAATATCAAACATGATAAAAATAAATGATTGATATTGTCTAAATTTGGGATTATAATGCTACATAAAATGATTAATATATTCTTTTAAAGTCACATGTAGATTTCGGCCTTCATGACCACCAATACTATATGGAAAAAGAACAAGAACTGCAGCAGGTAAAAGAAATGCATCTTTATATTCATTTAAAGGTTCATTTTTATATGCCATATATATAATAGATGGTTGTAAAAAATTATTTTGATTTTTATTTTGATTTAAATTATTAATATCTAGTTGATTTTTTGATTTATCTTGAGAGATAATAGTGTTATCTCATTTTCAGTTACTAGAATATTATTAATATGTAATATTTCTGAAGATCTAAGCTCACAAGCATTGCCAATAGTATTATTATTAACAAAATCTTCTTCTTCTTTACTACTTGTTTGGTCATATTCATCTAGTGGATCTTGGTTATAACCAGTATAATGTTCAATTTTATGAGAATCAATATTTACAGCTGTTATTGTTAGCATTAATTCTTCTAGTATATCTCCTTCAGGAAAGCCGTTTAAGATAATATTATCAAATTGAAATTCTTTAAATAGAATATTATGTTTAAAAAGCCATTGAAGAGCTGTAGCAATTTTACTTTTTCTAACTTGAAATATTTTTTTAAGTTGATAATCTGTGGGCTTGATTTGGCCAACAAATACAACTTTGAGATATTCACATAATTTGAATAAAGGCAAAGACAATACTTTTGATAGTGATCCTGGATTTTGAGGCAATGTTATAACATGCCCTTTAAGTTTATGATAAGTGTGTTTTTTATTTGATAATTGGATTAGATTTATACAAGGATATCCTGGTGAGATTAAAAGTTGTTTAGGAATTGTTAAATCCTTAAGACAAGATGGTGTAGGTCCAATCTACATATTATTAGTTAAGGATAGGGGTGGTGTTTTATCTTTTAGCAAAAAATTGTAACAAGATATACAAATTCGTAAGTTGAAAAATTTATTGGATTTAGATTTAATACAATTTTGAAAATTCTCTTGAGGATATATGAAACCATCACAATTAAGAATATTTTTTAAACCACTAGAGTCAATAAGTGGATGGCCATATTGAAAATCAAGTTCAAAAAATGGTTCAGTAAGTTGTACTGGTTGCTTTAATTAAAGAAAGATCTATATCTTTTACAGAAACTTCTTTAAATTCTTTGAGGCTATATATTCTTGAGCAAATAGTACAAGATAGTTCACATAAGCCAATTAGCATTTTCTCTCATTGAGTTATTAAAATCCTCATCTATCTCTAAGACACATAGAGACACTTTAGCATTTTCAGCTTGATGATCTTTAACTAGATGATTAGATATTCGTTTCTGTTTCATTTGTTCACGATTTTTTCTTTTTTTGGCTTCACTACTAGTTTCGATATTTATTATTGTTATCTTTTATTGTTACAAATTATTAAAATAAAATAGACGTATACTATAAGTATTTATAAAGATGTTAAACTAGTAACATGAATATATAGTTATTTTAATATTGTAAATCAAATCATATAATGAATTATATAAATAAGAATAACAAAAATATTAGAATTGTATAAATTATAAAGTTATTTTTTAAAAATTTTTAGTCAAATCAATAAAGAATTTCATTTTAGTGAGCTTAAAAGCTTGTGTTTATATATATACGTATTTGTACTACTCAACAAGTTTAATTATTAACACATATATATATATATAATATATTTGCGAAGCAATATAAATTAATATATCTTTATTATTACTGCGGTATAATAAGTATGATTTGTTAAAGATCATCAAATCTAATATAGTATAATCATATAAGATATATAAAATATATATTTATTTTATCAAATCATTCACTAGTTTTTTATATTATAAATTAGATACGTATTTAATATTGTTTTATTTTATAGCCACAACAAAAAATTGAATAAATGGTAATTTATATTTATAGATCAAAAGAAAAAACATGATTAAAAAATTTATAAATTTAGAAATATTACATGATATAATAGTATCTAACTAATGCAATAATAATGAAATTTAAGGATTAATAGTAACTTATTTTTTAACTTTCTTTCCCTTTTCTTTTTGAGCTTTAGCAGTATTTCCTTTTCTCTTTTTAAGATGTACCTTTTGGTTTTCTTCAAACTCATTATATAAATCTTCCTCATTATCTGATTTCACAGTTTTTTTATTATCTTCAGATTGTTTTTTATAATCTTTATTATCTAAACTTACAGAATCAGGCAGGTTATTATTCTCTATATCAACATTTTGTATATTGAAGGGTTTAGTAGATTTTTCAGATGTTTGGGGATTGGCAGAATTGAGATTATCGTCAATAAGATCAATAATTGATGGCGCATTTGGTGTTGCAAGAGAGAAGCTTTTAACCAGATTAATATTAATAGCTGAAGTTTTCAAATAGTCAATATCTGTAGCTTAATTATCATTTTGCCAGACTTAGAGAACCTAATTAAGCCTGATACAAAGTAATTAGTTCATAATTTAATATTTGAGCCTAAATGACCCAAATATTTAAATTTTGGTGATTTGAGAGGATAAACAATGGTCATGTCCATTTTGATATCAGAATTAGAAGTAACTGAATTATATTCTATAGTTTCTGCACCAAAATAAATAAAATCTTCGATTTGTTTTGGTTTACAATTAACAGTTACTAAGTATACACAATGTGGTACACATTCAGGAAGATCAGTCACATCAAATTCTCTGTTGAGATTTTTATTATTAACAACACTTGCATATGCAATAGCAAAATGTAGTTCAGAGCTTTCAATAATATATTTACCGGAGATAAATACAATATCACCATTATTAAATACATTAACCGGCTAGTTCATAGGAAAAAAATATTTGAACTTAATCAATTGAAATAAATTTTTGAAAGCTTATACTTTGCAACACCGAAAGAGGATAAACAATTACTCTTTACAAAAACTATCACAACAAGTAATGCTGTATGAGAAACTATTTTTTTTTGTTTTTAAATTTTACAACAGTAAATAAGAATGGATGAAAACTTTATATATTCAAGTTATTAACACTGGTCGAAATTTTTTAATATAATAGGCTAATACAAAGGTGATTTATATAAAAACAAACATTATAAAATCGGGTA